ATCAAATCATACCGCAGTATTCCTTACACAAAAATAACACATTCTTACTTACCATTCTTATAACAATCACCTTAATACCGCTAAGTCTCTACAAAATCCTAACTGATTTCCATATGTACAATTTGTATAGAGCAAAGTTCTTCAGATTAATTACCATGAAATTATTCGTAGAAAAGGTACACGGAAGACTTATTACGATGATGGGAAAGTTATATATATATATATATATATATATATATATATATATGCGCCATATATATATATATATATATATATATATATATATATATATAGGGTGTCCATAAAGTTCGTATGCACTTATGTTATAAATTGTAAAGTGCATACGAGCTTTATGGACACTATATATATATATATATATATATATATATATATATATATATATATATAAAGTATAGTTTTAAGGGATAGAGCGTATGTACATATGGAAGTGGATATTGAAGTCAACACCCATGGCCTGTCGATTACGTTTAAAGATGAAACAGATTTTCGCCTATGGGTGTTGACTTCAATGCCCACTTATATATATTACAACACCGAGCAAAAGTCATAAGTGGCGACCCAGAGACATTAGATAAATAATTGGTCGGTATAAGCAGTACCCTAGAACGTAACAACTATCCTGGGTACATGGCAGCAGTCCCAATAAACTGGGATAAGCGGGTACAAGAGGAGGACAACAAAACTCAGGAAACAGTCTGCCTTCCTTATGTGAAGGGGTTATCGGAGAAAATACAAAGGATCTGCCGTTCATATAAAATTAGGACAACCCTCAAAAGATGGACAACACTTCGTAGATAACTCTCCCAAGTAAGATCCCCCATAGAAGATAACATGACTAAAAACTGTGTGTACGCTATCCCGTGCAGCTGCGGAAAGGAATATAAAGGGGAGAAAGGACGCCCCCTTAAGGTAAGGCTTCAAGAACACCAAAAACCTGTAACACGAGGGGAAGTGGAAAATTCAGGCGTGGCTGACAATATATGGAGAGAAAAAAGAAGACCACCGCTCTTCTGTGGGACTAGGCTGAAATCATAGACAAAGAACATCATTGGAAAATTTGTAAACTTAAGGAATCAGCACATATGTTAGGTCACAAAAATATCTTGAGCTGACCAAGCATCGAAATGAATACAATATGGGAACCAGTAATAAGGAATGCCAGAGAAAAGCAATAACAACGAAAATTGTAATATGAGATCTGGAAAAAACATGTGGATAACAGCAAAAATTGCAATATGAACACTGGTAAAAAGTAATTGCTGAAGAAACTAGGTCTATAATACCCAGATATTCATAAACAGATGTCCTCAAAGACATATGGCATAGTGGATAAAAGCGTTAGTTAGATCCAGTGACACACAGAGTTCAATACCTGGTTAAGACGGTGAAAAACTTGAAGATGGGAATTAAGAGGAGATAACTGATAACTGACATGGCACATGGAACTAGAACAGTCTACCCAAAGGAGCGACATATGTTATCATATATATATATATATATATATATATATATATATATATATATATATATATCATAAGGCATATTCCAAAAAACATTAGTTATAGACCTTCAACTAATTCCTCTAATAAAGGCATTTTCGAGGCCAGTAAAACAATTTATGAGGAAGCCGTATCTAAGAATGGACATAAAAATAAATTGGAATATATTGACATAAATAGTTATAATAGTACTCAGAACAAACGTAACAATAGGCAGAGAAATATTTTGTGGTTTAACCCTCCTTTTAATTTGGCGGTAAAAACAAAAATTGTCAAAATATTTTTTGACTTATTAGAGCAACATTTCCCCCAAAAAACTGAGTTACATAAAATATTCAATAAAAATAATGTAAAACTTAGTTACTGTTGCATGCCTAATGTAGGGACCTTAATTAGTGGATTGAATAAGAAAAAAAAACTAGGGATAATCCACGCAGTAGCCCTCCTAGTTGTAATTGTAGGAATAAAAATATCTGCCCATTACAGGGAAAATGTCAGCAAGAATGCGTGGTTTACCAGGCGAAAATTTATAAGGATATGGAGGATACTAACCCGAAAGTATACATAGGTGCTACTCAGGATAATTTTTAAAAAAAAGATACTATAACCACATGAGTAGTTTTAAAAACGAAAAAACTAAACATAGTACCACGATATCCACCAATGTATGGAAAACTAGACAAGGAAATAATAAAGACCCCATCCTTAAAAGGGAAATATTAAAAAATATGCACCAAATATAAAGCAGACCAAAAATTTAGCAAATTATGTACAGAGGAGAAATTAGCCATAGCTTTATATAATCAACCTAACCAGCTATTAAACTCCAAAACCGAAATTCTTAACATATGTAGGCATAAAAAATCTTGGTTACTAAATTAAGACGAATTTCCCCGTTTATTTTGTCATTCCACCTTAATGTTCGTATTTTAATATCCCCTCCCCTTTTAGTTGAATAAATCTTTATCCTCCTACCCCCCGGTGTTCTTGTGTTTTTCTTTATCTTTGGTCACGTGGTAATTTTGACTATCGCCTATAAATATGCGTTTCTCTTTTGCCTCTTTAGCCAGCTTTCCTTGACGATCCGCTTAGGTGAAACCTGGGTAGGTTTGTCTGGCTCACTAGGTGTATCTAGGTCTGCTCTACGGTTGTATTGAGCTCTTTTGTTAGTTAGTTCTTTACTCGTATCGGGGTTTTTTCTTTGGGCTTCAAACCTGTATCTGTGCGATTTTTTTCGACAGACTTTCATGTTTCTAGCTCTTTCTTCATTTAAAACCTTTTTTCCCTCGAGATTGATTTCATTATTGGCAAATCAAAAATTCGATGGTTTTATGAAACGAGTATAGTTTATATATATATATATATATATATATATATATATATATAGTATAGTTACCTATATATATATATATATATATATATATATATATATATATATATATATGTGTGTGTGTGTGTGTGACGTCACCCCGCCTCTCTACCCCTGTGCTATCCTGTGACGACCAATGTGACTTGGTATTGGTCGCGGCGCCAAATGTGACGTTCTAACCCTTGGTTGATTCGGATGGGAATCTGATTAGATTCGGTATCAGCTTTGTCGTTCCCAGCTCGCCTCCAACGTCTGGTTACCGAAGTAACTGCTTTGATTTCTAGTCTAACCTACCCACGTTGTGATTTGATCTTAGGTAGACGAAATCAACCAGTCGCCGGGCCGTAATGCAAACCGAATTCGAGCAAAGGTGACATCGCACAATTATATGTAAAAGAAAATAAAGTATCCGAGATCTTACGAATTTCCTATTTTCTGCGAAAAAAAATACTTTTTTCGCAAATGAAAATAAAATCTTCACCACTTTTCTTTTGTTTAAAAAAATAACATCGCTTAGTATGTCTTTCGTGATAGCTTCTTCTCGCTTTAAGTATTTCTCGCTTTTAATTTTCACGCAAACGCTAAATAGTGTCATACACACACACACACACACACACACACACACACACACACACACACACACACACACACATATATATATTCAATATTTGATAATGTGTTAATAGAATTCACTTTGATTATATCAATGGATTACTACCTGTATATATATATATATATATATATATATATATATATATATATATATATATATATATATTATTTATTTAAAAATATGATGGAATCATATTTTTAAAGGAATAATTATATTTATGCTCTACTTTTGTATCGAGCACTATTTTTTAAAAATAATAACAAAAATACTAAAGAACTTTGTATTATTTACGTAACGAGTTCTTTCCTATTTTCTATATATTTATATTGTATAAATATACAATATAAATATATAGAAAATAGGAAAGAACTGGGACAAATCACTCATTAGAAATCACTCATTTAACTGGGTAGAAATCACTCATTTCTAAATTTTTCATTAACGACGACAGACAAAGTACTACAATTTAGCATTTTATTTAATTTTTCTTGTGTTTGAACAAGTGTTTTCTTTTCTGGACACAGAGTATTTAGAAACCGTCCAAATGTTTCGTAATTCCAAGTGCTTTCGGCTATACTTTTAGCCATTATCAATGTTGATTTTATTTTTACTTTTTAACTGGATGTATGGATTTGTGTGTATGTTTTAGAGTTATTGGGATGTTTTATTTTCCGAAAACAGTCAGCACATTGTGGCCGTGTTCGTAGTTAATATCATTGAGTGTTGGCCTTTCTTTTTTATTATTAAGGCTTGCATTATTTTTAATCTTTTTTACATGTGGGCGAGGTTATTATGCTTGTATTTTCTACAAGTATGTTTCTGGTATGTTTGTGTTTGTTTTTATTACTTCAAATGTTAGCCGCATTTATTTTAAACATTATATATTTCGTCTATCAGTCTTGCCTACTGGAGGATATTTAATAAAGGGAATGAGTCCTCCGGTTGCCTTTGCTGGAAGACCCAATCGTCGATTAGATATAAACATGAATATATAAAAATGAACGTAAGTGTTCATTTATCCAACCATTTGAATCAATATACTTATAGATATATAACTCCTATACGAGTGGCTGTTGAAAATGGCGTTGTCAGTCCCACTTCCCTAAACCTGTATTCTGTTACTTAGTGATTGAAATACTCGATTTGGGGAAATGGGTTTGCCTATCACGTTTTAGCATCCCGGACTCGAAAATACACGATTGTTAGCATATTAATAAAGAGACTACTATTACAAGTCCACATGCATATAGGCTCGTATGCACGCACACACTCTCTCTCTTTCGAAAAAAAAAAGGTACTTGCGCACGTCCACGTGCGAACACCGGCATAGGCTGTAATATAAGCACTTGTCGATCGTCTGCTTGGTCCAGAGCAGGAGTTGTGTACTCAGCGATTGGATGCCAGTCCGTTACCTCAAAATCACGTTTACTTTCTGTCTCGAAAATTTGTCGTCGTGCCTAAGTGGAGAGAAGTTACAGAAAATTTCAATCCAAAATCGATGCTTTTGGAAAGACAAGCTGGACCTTACGATCTCCTTTTTTTTTCTTTCTTTTTTTTGTTTTTGTTTTTGCTCGCTTGTCCTTTTCTTCTTCTTTCCGAATTAAGGATCAACTGTAAGTTTCGCTTGTCGAAGCATTTTCTGATCGAGATTAAGTTGGAGTCAGCAGAGATCAAAATTCAAACGGACTTGACTCCATTCAGCTTTCGACTTGTGAAGGCAGTGGTTCTTTCTTTTTCTCTCTTTTCTTTCTTTGTTTTTCTTTGTTCTTTCTTTCTTTTTCTTTCTCCCACTCTTCTTTCTTCCTTTTTCATTCATTCTTTCTTTCTTTTTCCTTTCTTTTTCTTTCTTTTCTTTTCTATTTTATTCCTTCTTCTTTTACTTCATTTCTTTTCCTTTCTTTCTTTTTCTTTCTTTCTTTTTCGCTCTTTTCTTTCTTTGTTTTTCTTTCTTTGTTTTTCTTTCTTTTTTCTTTCCCCCATTCTTCTTTCTTCCTTTTTCATTCATTCTTTCTTTCTTTTTCCTTTTTTCTTTCTTTTCTTTTCTATTTTATTTCTTCCTTTTTTTCTTCATTTCTTTTCCTTCCTTTCTTTTTTCTTATACTGTTTTTCTTCTTTCTTTTCCTTTTTTTTAAATTTCTTTCAATCTCCATTTCTTTTTTGTTTCTTTCTTCATTTTTCTTTGTTTTTCCATGTTTCTCTCTATTCGTTCTTCCTTTCGTTCTCTTTCTTTTTTCTTTCTTTCTCCATTTCTTCCTTTCTCCATTTTTTCTTTGTTTGTTTGTTTGTTTGTTTGTTTGTTTCTTTCTTTCTTTCTTTAGATTTCACTCAGCGTCAATAGCTATGAATAATCCAGTAAAAGCGAGGACCCCCACCCCAGGCCGCAAATTTTATTTATCAAAATAGTTACCTCTTTCTCACTTTATTCTATTTGCAAATTTCTTTCCGTCTGTTCTTGGTTAAGTCGATGGTGGTGTGATGATTAAGGGCTCGACATGAGATATCCGAGTTCAATTTCCAGTGGGATTCTTTTGCATGACCTTTTGCGCAAATGCCTTTCGGAAATTAATAAATCTGGCTCTTATATCCCCAGCTTTGGTTTAAATGGTAGAACTTATTTCTGGAAAAAATTCTTGTTATCTCAAAAAAAAAAAAAAAAAAAGTTAATAAAGTATTTACTAGCAAAAAAGTATTATTCTCACAATACCAATTTGATTTTGGCTTTAAATAACCCACAGATGGTTGATAAACCGTAAAAATCAATCAACAATCAAACGTCTGTTCTTTCTGTTTTTCGACCTACTACGTTTGACTGCATATAATACACAGACAAGACCCTGTGCTACATGTAAGCCACACTTAGAAAAACGTGACATGCGTGATACACACTCAGGCGACCATGAAACTTTCGATACATGACCCCCCCCCCGCAGTAGGTTGCCATTTCTTTCTGCGGTAGACCAGTTGCCATTCGCTCTGTCCGGCTATTTACCCAATAGCTGGGCATAAAGAGGATTCATACCTTTTCCAAGGGTATTAGCGCGTAAGCGAATGTAATGGATTCGAAGTGATTCCTCAACCCACCGTTCCCCCTAAGTTAGTTATGTGCCATGCATGATACACGCTTAGGCGATCATGTATCTTTTGATACTGACTGACGAGGCAGTTTTTTTCCCGCAATAAGTTGCCATTTTTTTTCTGTGGTAGGGAGAAAAAGAGGATTCACACTCAAGTGAATGTAATGGATTCGACTGGAATTCGAACTCGGCTCTCCGATTCCTCAATGCGAACCGCTACCCAAATCGTTACAATATCCAGAAGCATAAGATCGCTCCAATCATATCAAAAGAAAACAAATCTGTTTGCGGGTAAGTAAGTATTGCCAACAAGAAAATGCTAAAAAAGAAATATAATGAAATAATGAAGATATTAACTTTCAGCACAACTATAAACAAAGGTTTGGAAGGAAACTTCTATAAATATTAGAAAGAGCTATGACATTTAGTGGACTTAGAAATCTAATTTCCTGAAAAGCTATTTTAAGAAAAAAAAAAGATTTTATAAATATCGACCGACTGTGACGCTGACTTTTTAGTCAATGGATGTCAACTACTTCTTGTATGGAAACTGTTATTTTTACCGTTACCATTAATATAAGGTTATTTTTACCGTTACCATTAATATAAGGTAGAAAATTAAGGTGATACTGATTTTAAAAAATGAATTTAAAGGGAGCCAAAACCTTTCTCGGGGAAATCCCTCCAATTCTAAGAAATCATTTATATAAGTAAAAAAAAAAGATCCGTTACATTATTTACATTGTTCAGACTGTTGTCCTCATCTTTATTGCCATAATGACGACGTTTCGGTGTTTGTATGCTCTGGCCTTCTTCCATTGATTAGAATTTCGAACAATTTGAACAATGTTTGATTTTCATTGGTCAATCACGTATCATTCGGCGCTTTGTAGATTCTCCCGTTGTATTCGACATATGAGGGTCAGGCAGCTGAGTTTCTAGAAATCAACGGTCAGACACCAGCCCATATGATTTGATTATAGCGGTGATAGCTTTTTGAAGGGTCGAATACAGAGACCTGGTGCACTACATACCACAAGGACCCAAAAGGACCTCCCGTAGGTTTTGAATTCAGAGTTGTCCTTCTCCTAGACCAGTTGCCATCCAAGGCTATAAAACCCAGTCTGTCTTGTTATTTATCCATATCTGAAGGGAGAAGAAGAGGGTTAACCCATTTCCCAGGGGTATTAGCACGTAAGTGAATGTAAAGGATTCGGCTGGAATTCCAACTCGGCTCTCCGATTCCTCAATCCGAACAGCTAGAAGACATGATATAATAATATGATATAATTAAAATATTACCATTACACACAACTATATACAAAAGGTTTGGAAGGAAACTTCTTTCAGTGTTAGAAAGAGCTATAACATTTAGTGGACGTATAAGTTTAATTTCCTGAACTGCACAGAAATATATTACTAATTCCTAATAACTATAGTGTTCTCTTTGTTAATTAAAATCAATCTCTTTTAGAATTTTGCTCTGAAATACGTGATGCACCCTGTATCAGGTTTACTGAAGATAAAGTTCGGTTTTAGACTAAACCTTTTGTGTTTATATCATAATAATAAATAAAATGCATTACTCTTTCCTAATGATTAAAATGTCTTAGCAATTTTATATCAATCTCTTTCAGATTTATGAATTGGGACCAAATATTGATCAAGTGTTGATCGGAATCCAACAGAATGATATGATGAAGAACAAATAGGAAACGTTTATCCATTTAACATGTTTCAGTCTTATTAACCAGAGAATGAGATATGGAGAAAAAGAAGAAAGACATTCTGGTGATTTTACTTTTGTGTTGTTTGATTTTCATTGGTCAGTCACGTATCACGTGCATTCGACTCTTTTAAACCAAAGTTGGTGTAACTTCTGGCGTGACAAATTCAAGGAGAGATGACGTGTCTATCCGAAGTTCCAAGAAATTAACAGATTCCGAGCCAATCTGAAAATCATAATAACGTTGGTTTAAAAGAGTCGAATGCACGGGAAAAATGAATGGCGAATGAAAATCGGAAAATACAAAAGTAATAATGCCAGAATTTCTTAATACTTTATACATATCGTGTGTAACAGCAAAATTGTCCAAATCGTGTAATATCAAAATTGTCCAACTGTTAGATTAAGCTTTGAACCGTTGTATCTTAGAAATGATTAAAGATATCTTACTGGAATTTTCCTAAGTTTTATAACACTATTGGACTCTACTTTGAATAATAAGAATGTATTTAGTTCTAAGTTAAAAATGATGATCCCTATTTCTGTTGTGATCTCTTGATTTACTTTTCTTCCCTACTGTTCCCCCTTTTTTAAACTTACTCAAAGTTCTCTTGATGCTGAATGATCTTTTTCCTCTCACCATTGCTCAGTTGGGAAGACGTAGTGGGGCTGACACAAAATGATTTTAACATATTCTTTTACTAGCTGAATAACTCAAAGGGTTTTGCAATAATTCTTACGATAAATGGTATCAGGATGGCTAAATGTTTTCTCTGAGAACCTGAAAAAAGAAACTCAGTTTAGTGGTTTTTAGATATTAAATATTTTCTGGGATCGGCAATTATCCCATTCTGTCACATGATTTGGACAATTTTGCTGTTAAACCCAATACATACATACCTATATACATATATAAAATAATAGCTGACCATTCGTATTCTAGGAAACCCGTCTATTAGGGGGCTAGCCAATCCTTATTGCAGACGCTTGCTCAGGCGTATTTGTGATTCAACACCCACAGAGCCCACCTGTGGTTTATACTGCAACTATGCTGAGTAGAGCTTAGTTACAGTCTCTGGGAGAGAGCGTGTTATCTTGCGTGATCAACAATCTGGACAAGGTCAGCACACTCAAACTCTCGGTCACGATGACTTGTGACTTCGTGCTAGTACAGCTATCGACGGCCTCCAAGGGTTCCGTCTACCCGATTTCACTCACAAGGGTTGGGTCAACCCGTGGTATGGTTTTCAGTCACATACACACATAGAAACACGCGTACGTAAATACAAGGAGCCCATCGAGAATAAATGATGAACCAACCTAGAACAAATTGATTTGACATGGTCGACGTATTGACTTATTTAGACAAGAGTGTCTTGCTGTGAGCTCTAAGGCCATAATTTGTGCTTCAAATGCTACGCGGGAAGCTGAGGACGCGCCATGTTTCGTTTTTGCTTCGAGTTTTTGCTACTCTGTCATCTTCAAATTGGTTCACACCATCATGGTTTGAACTACGCCATTGCTTCCTATTTGATGCTGATGATTCCCATGTACTGAGGGGCAAATTGAAGGCATTTAGCCTTTCGTTGGGGTCTCTCAAAGACACCCTTAAAGATATACGCCTTATATTGAACATGATAAAAAGAAGCGATGTATTTTTTTTTTTTTTGCATGAGTTCATAATGCTTCTCAAATTGCTGCCAACAATAACACAACACGAAGTAAAACATCCACGTGGGATCGGCACTGGTTCCTGAAGTTCCACAATGGGGATACGAATCTTGAAGATCAGTGTGGCAGAGGACGTCGATCAGGAGTTAACAATCTGAAAACACTAGTTGAGCAAAACCCACGTCAATGTATCAGAGAAATGCCTCAGATAATGGGTCTCGGTATTTCAAGAATATCGGACCATCTCAAGAGAATTGGCAATGTGAAGAAACTCATGAACTCAGAGAACGTCAAAGAGTTCGACGTTTTGAAGTGTGTTCGATACTGAATTTGCGAAATTTGAAAGATCCATTTCTTGATTGAATATTGACCTCGGATGAGAAACGGGTCCTTTATGAAAATCGTAAACGATCGGCTGAATGACTTGATCCTGACGAAGCATCCGAACACTTCTGAAAACCGAAATTGCCCCAACAGAAGATTATGGTGACTGTCTAGTCGTCCACCATTGGCGTTACCTGTTGCAGCTTTTCGGAATCTAACCAGAGCTTCACTGGTGACGTTTTCTGGCACATTTAAAATGCGACCGGAACTGGTTAAAGTTCAATTCAGCTTCACGAGAATGCCTGGCCACATGTTGTCAAAATGGCACTGCCGATCTTACTGAATTGGGATACAGATCTTTGTCACATCCACAATATTCCTCCGATCTCTTGCCTACGTTAATTTTTGAGTCAAATGATATTCGCTACAAAGAAGATGCATAAATTGCATTTAAAGATTTCTTGGACTCCAAAACTTTAGAGTTTTATTTTAAAGTCATAAATAACCTTTTAGCTCGATGACAGAAATGTATAGATGTCGGTATTTACTCTTTTGACACTATTTAATGAATTCAAAAATAAACTTCATTCTAAAATCGGAGATTATTTTCCGAACAACATTATTTATAACATCAGTTGGAAGTTCTGGGCACGTGGCCGTGTGGTTAGAACAATTCGCATTCTGACTATGAGACCCGGGTTCGAATATCACCATGGTCGATTTGTCAGGAATGAGACTTCCTTATATTATCGGACTGGAGGGATCGATCCTAGCGTGCAGCACCTTTGGAAAGTGCCTGAAAGCCCAAGACTTGTGAGTTGAATTGGATATACGTAATACATGGGAGCCATCGATAGCTGTGTTAGCACGACATCACAAATCATCGTGGTCGAGAGCTTGAGCGTGCTGGCCTTGTTCAAATTGTTGATCACGCTAGATAACATGCCCTTTCCCAGAAAGTGTAACTATGGTCTGCTCAGCATAGTTGCAGTATATGGGTGGTGCATAAACACCAATGCGCCTGAGCAAGCGTCTGCAGTAGGGATTGGCTAGCCATCCTAGTAGACGGGTATCCTCGAATACGAGTGGCCAGTTATACTGGTAGTTTATGCTGTATGAGTAAATATCAGCTTATAAGACAGATTTCTTTCAAGCCTACCTACGTAAATCACATGACATGAAGGCGTTGAGCTCTGGAGAGTCACCTTGGCAGAGCGTCAGAACCGGTGGCGTTTTTACCGTGAGGAGGTCAGAAGATGCCAATGCCCCCCATATTTTTTTTAGAGGAAAAAAAATCAGAGCAGACAAATAACAGTTTTGTTAGTATTGACGTTAGTATTAAACCTTTGATTTTGTTTTGATGTTAACTTCTCTTGTGGTCCAACAGCTTGAGAGGAGGGAAAAGAGGACAAGAATCGATTAGAACTTTACTATTATGAATGAAAAGTTAGTCCGTTCAATTTCGTGAAGTAACATACTTATAGTAAATCTCATTCATAACTCGTGTATACGATAGTGGAGTAGTATGAAAATAAAGACGCTGCTTGAATTTGCCCCTCCCCACTGCTCCGCAGAAAAATCTCGGCCCTCAAGTACCCTCCGCTACTTTCAGAGTTTTATAATCCCCAATGGCCAGATCAGCCCAGATTTCCATCCGCAATGTGGTTTGCCGTGAGATCGTCGACAGTCTGCAGGCAACGGATCGAATTGGTAGATGACTCTGGTTGGATGGTCATCAGGTCTGCAAAGACGTGACCGAGCCAACGAACAGGGCGGTCCCGAGGGATCGTGCCTCGAAGCTATAGATCTCCGAGGCAAGGGTCATATTGAACGGCTAGGTATCGGCTCTGTATAGTAACACAGAGAAGACGGCGTTGAGTCGCGTCATGAGAGGCCAGCAACCAGCCCGCGTCTTCTGTTGATCCTCGTGAGGAGGTTATCGGTGTTGGAAACTTCTGATCCCAGGTAGACGAAAAGACGTGACGAACTCGAACGGGTCGTTGTCGATGACGGTGAGTGGTGGACCGTGGCCGTCTCCCACGTGCTTCGGACTCGGTCTTCGACCAGCTGACGCGCAGCCCAAAACCTTGTCACTTCAATGGCAAGCACGAGAGCAACAGAACCTGCCTCGTGTCATCGGCGTAGATCAGGTCTCCGAGCTGAACACCAAGTAAGCGATCGCACACTGCGTCCACGAGGTGGTTAATGGTACAGTTGAATAAATCGTAGGGGTGGCTACACAACCCTGGTGGTCACCGTCAGCCATCGGGAACTAGTCCGAAATCTTTCCAGAGTTGTAGTAGCGCATGATGATCTTTTGGTTTAAATTTTTAACGCCTCCAAAATGAAACAACCCTCTTTTTTTAACTCACACAAGTATAGCTGATACTAACCTCCACATTGCGCCTTCTTGGTCTAACATTTTCCTCTAGTATGATGTGGAAGGATTATATTGAATCAATCGCTAAGTTTTCAACTAGGAAACTTGGTTAATTGAACCGCGGTAAACTATTTTCTCTCGCCAGAATCTATCTTACACATTTATAACCAAACTACCATTCGTTTTTGCGTTGAATATTGCTGCCACATCTGGTCTATTGGTTCAGCTATATATGTAGAAATTATTGATGAATTCCAAAGAATCTGCAATTTTATTGATCCTGACCTGGCATTTCGGTTTCAGTCATTTTCCTACCGCTGTAATTTACTTTCTCTGTACCTTTTCTATAAATACTTTCATGGTAATTGTTCTGATCAACTTTGCTCTACAGTACCTAGATTTTATGAATTTGATCGCAGTACTAGATTGGCGGCAAGGTCCCATCATTTGACAATTGAAACATCTAGATATAACCGTAAGTTCTATGCTAACAGTTTCTTCTATTGCACTTATCTCTTTGTTCTTGTATCAAATTTAAATAAAATGTCAGCCATTATCTTCTGCTTTCTTAATTCTTTTATTGTTTTCGCTTCTTAATAGTCTTTTCTCATATTCTCTGGCATTCAGTAAATCCTCTTTTGCGTCTTTGTGGCTTTATTGTCTTGCTTAGATTATCTCGTCAAATGTAGCCGGGGTGTGAGGACAACTTAGAGGCTTGGTAAGGGACAATGTTTGTGTCAAGATCAGCAAAATCGATGCAGAAACCTATTAAATGATCAAAGACCTGCTGGATGGTTGCCTTTGTGGGCTTGTAAGAGATGCAGGAGGCTGGGACAAGAACTCTGATCACCTTCAATTTGAAGGAAAACAAGAAAGCTATCAAGGAGTGCTCCAACGAGACCATTGAGGCTTCTGGTGTTTAATGTAAGATACATATAATTTTAATATTATCAAGAATATTATAATTTTATATAAGCTACTATTAATTTTTATATTGCCAGGAACATTATAATTTTATCTAAGGTTTGTGTAATTTTTAGATTTTTAGGAATATTATAATGTTATATAAGGTACGTGTAATTTTATATTGTCAGGAACATTAAAATTTTATGTAAGGTACGTGTAATTTCTATGTTGCCAGAAACATTATTGTTTTATAAAAGCTACATATAGTTCTTATATTGTCAGGAACATTATAATTTTATATAAGGTACGCATGAGTTTTACATTGTCTGGAACATTATTATTTATATAAAGCGTGTGTTATTTTTATATTGTCAGGAGCATTATAATTTTATATATGCTACGAGTAAATTTTATATTATCAGGAACATTATAATATATATAAAGTATGTGTCATTTTTATATTGTCAGGAACATTATAATTTTATATAAGGTACGTATAATTCTTATATTGTCAGGAACATTATCATGTTATATGAGCTACGAGTAATTTTTAAATTGTCAGGAACATCACAGCTGCGATTAATTCTTATATTGTGAAGAACATTATAATTTTAAGGTACGCATAAATTTTATATTGTCAAGAACATTATAATTTATACAAAGTGTGTGTTATATTCATATTGTCAGGAACATTATCATTTTATATAAGCTACGAGTAATTTTTATATTATCAGGAACATTATAATGTATATAAATTATGTGTAATTTTTATATTGTCAGGAACATTATTATTTTATATGAGGTACTTATAATTTTTATTTTGTCAAGAACATTATAATATTATATAAGGTACGCATGAGTTTTATATTCCCAGAAAAATTGTAAGTTATGAGTTATTTTTATATTGTCTGGGACATTATAATTGTTTATAAGCTGTGATTAATTCTTATATTGTCAGGAACATTATAATTTTATGTAAGCTTCGAGTAATCTTTATATTGTCTGGAACATTTATAATTTCATATAAGATACGAATATATTTTAAGCTTTTCAGGAACATTATATTTTTATGTAAGGTACAAGAATTATTTATATCGTCAGGAACATGCGATACAAATAATTTTTACATTTTTTGGGGACATTATAATTTTATGCAACGTACGTGTAATTTGTATATTGTCAAAACATTATAAGGTTTGCATAATTTTTAATTTAAGTAAAATATTTACTAGAACTGTAAAAAAAAAAATGTTTCAATGATTTCAATCTCAAATCGTCCAGTATACTATTGACATTCTCCCATATATATTCGCTTGTCTCCTCACTTTGATAACATGGTCGGATTTGATGTCACGTAGCTTCTTACCAGGAACCAATACTTTGTGGGACAGACTCCTGGGTGGATACTTCGCCAATCGCTACGATCTTAACCTCTTCATCTAAGATCAAACATTATATATCCTACATATCCTCATGCTTTGATCTCCTTATCACCCCCACTTACGTTGATACAACAACCACATTTAATAAACTTCAACCCTAAATGGCCCCTAAAAGAATGAAAATAAAGAACTCCCCCAATTTCCTTACTTGTAAACCTCGCTATAGTCTTTAGCTTGTTTACTGTGCCGCACTTCCTTACCTGCCTACCTCATTATATTCCTTAACTTGTTGCCTCAGTCGTTTTCATAACTCTGCATATTACCTCACTTGTATATTTCATCGTACTTTCTTACGTCTATATTCCCTAGCATGTATACGACGCTATATTTTCTCTAATACCTCGCTATATTCTTTAACATTGTATACCACGCCATACTCCTTTGCATGACTCGGCATATTCCCTCGCTTGTGTTCTTCAAACTTTTTAGTTCTACACTTCACTATATTCCCTCCATTGTATAGCACATCATACGTTCTTTTATACCTAGCTATATTCTTTAGCTTGTATACCACACTACGTTTCCTTGTATAACCCGCTATATTCCCTAACTTGTATACCTCGCCATACTTTCTTCTATACCTCGCTATATTCCCTGGGATTTATTCCACACCATAATTTCTCTAATACCTCGCTATATTATTCTTTAGCTTGTATACCACAACATGATTCCTTGTATGACGCGAAATATTTCCTCGCTTGTATATTTCATCAATTTTTTTTACTTCTGTATATCGTAGCTTGTATATCTCACCATATTTTTACTTCTATACCTCGCTATACTCCTGACTTGCATACCTCACCATACTTGTTAGTGTCTATATATCACCTTATTTCCTCACTCGTATAAGTTGTCATAATTCATTATGCTAGACATCGCCATATTCCCTCGCTTTTATTTCTCGACAGAGTCCCTTAATTGTATATATCGCCGTCGTTTTTACACTTCGCCATATCCCCTTGTTTGTATACTGAGGCATAATTTCTGGCTGTTACACATCGCCATATTTCCTAGCTTGTATACATTGGCATATTTGCTTTCTTTCAGCGACTAATTTGTTCTCCGATTAGACAAAACAGAAGGAATCCCCGCTTCCCCCCACAAACCAATAGTGATCTTAATAACATCATACATTCCCTTTGGGTGTGTGGGGGGCGTTTTATTTTATTTTTTTTTGATTATTTTTCTTTTTTTTTACCGCTAAAAGTAAATCTCTTTTCTCTCCTCGAAAGATTAATCTCGCAAATTTTCTCGCCTTTTAGTGATTTTTTTTCCTCGCACTTTACCGATCACGTGGTCCAATTAACTCTCATGATGTATCAGGCACGTGGGACAAGTGTCGCCCGATAATAAGCGAGACATCACTTCACGCGATGAGACATTGATTAAAAACAATGAGGAGAATCCAGGGTCAGAAGTTACGACCGTCACTGTGCAGGAGTTAATAAGGAAACGCTTAAGGTAGAACTCCAGGGACGACAGAAAGAAAGAAAGGCGGCAAAAGAGGATTCGGGGGGAAAGGGTAGGAAGAAGGAAGAGGAAATAAAAAGAGAATGGACTATAACGGATATAGAATTAAAGGAATAAGGATAAAGAGAAGATGAGGAGGACCATGAATAAATAAAACAAGAGACGGAAGGTAAATAAAAAAATAGATAAAAAAGCTAAAAAAATGGCTATATGTTGATATTTATAGTTCTTTAGTTAGTGCACGTGAAGGTTGACAAAGGGTGCAGCAGTTTTATCTGCTGCTGCTGTTTAGCTATGTTAAATTGTTATAGGAGAGTAGTCTCTTTATGTGTGCATATATCCGTTTCTCACTTGTCTGTAGTGGTATGTTTGTGTGGAGATCTTTGGAGCAAATATCTGCTGATGAGATGAACGTCCGTCCCTATGGTATGTAGTAAATAAACAGCGTCGCGAGAAATGAATATAGAAAATAAAGTTAGAAAAACTAAACAAAAAATAATGACTAGTAGTAGTAGTAGTAGTAGTAGAAGAAGAAGAAGAAGAAGAAGAAGAGGGGAAGCGTTTTGTATGAAAGAGAAGAAAAGATGAAGAATTTTAAAAATAACGAATAGGGCATTAAGAAAGTAGTAGTCGGAGGAGAAGGAGGAAGAGGAGAAGAGAAGATGAGGAGGAGGAGGAGAAGAAGAGGAGAAGAAAAAGACGAAATAACGAGAAAATAATAAAGGAAAAGAAATAAGGTGAAGAAGAAGAGATTTAAATTTGAAAAGAAGAAGAAGAAGAAGAAGAAGAAGAAGAAGAAGAAGAAGAAGAAGAAGAAGAAGAAGAAGAAATAATGTGGTGGGGGGAAGAAATGAGTGAGAAATCATAAAGTGAAGAAGAATATGGAAAAAAAAATTCTGAAAAGAATAAATAAAGGAGAATAAAAAATAAGATGAAGAAAAAGAATGAAAGAAAGAAAAAAGAAAGCGAGAAAAAGAATAAAGTAATGGAAGGAAAAATTTGAAAAGAAGAAGAAATAAATGAAAGGCAAAAAGAAAGAGTGCTTAGCAGAAAAAAAGAATCATTATCAAAAATAAGTAAAGAAGTAACTTTTTGAAGAAGCGAGAAATATTTCTGAAAATCTTTCAGAGAAAGAAACATTTCAGCAAACATTCCGATCAAGTTAACAGACGAAAGACAATCGCACATACGATAAGTAACAAACAAGATCATATCTTTGGACAATTTTCAACCGATATATCATAAATAATAATAATAGTAAACAACTAACGCAATATTTCATGATGCGCACGTTTCCCATCATGTTACTCGCTTTTTGTTGCATTCCAATCACTCTAGCTGCGTTTCATTCGTTTTGTCGCATTGATTACCACTACAACCGTTTTTCTCTATACAAGCGACGTTTGTACGATTTTGTAATGTTTTGCATATTTTATAATTTTTTTTTAATACTTGTATGAAATTTTTAAACATAACTTGCAATAGACAGGCATAGTATCGAAATATTGTTGGACATTGTTAAACACTGTGTCTTTTCTTTTCATTATCTTAAATCGCATTTTTCTTTGATGATTGAAAAATATGGAAAGAATTACGTCAATCACTCTGTTTGTTAATAATAATCATAATGGTAATTACTGAGTGGTGAGTTCAATCCTAACTGGATGACTAATAGTTATGGCCTTGTACCAAAGGTATTGGTAATGGACAATATTAACCGGAAACATTCGGCATTTATTGACCGAGCAGCTAGTACGGCGATCGGTTGCAATTTATAAAATCTCTCTTTTAAAAAAATTATCAGGAAAAAATAGTTTCTCAAGTCATGTGGCTGTTATTTTGTCTTTCCAATATTGATGGAGGTTTCCTTACTAATCTTTTGTTTGAAGTGGTGTGGAATATCAGTATCCTCATTGAGTAATTATTTTATCTTTGAGGTAGATGCAGCATCCATTTTATTTGTTGCTGTTGATGAAGTTTCTCAAGTGATGTAGTTTCTGTTATTTGGCACAGTTTTTTTTGTGATTGTGTAGCGCAAGTCCATAAGATTCAAAGTCGGATGATCTTCGCCTAAGGCGCACAGGATTCACTCGCCCAAAACCATTTTCTCCATTGATCTTAGGTAGCGGTTATATACAGCTGAGAGTTTAGATATTTCTGAACGGGATTGGGGCCATGCATGACATCTATATAAAAGTCCCGATCTGAGGAGACTATTTAAGAATATGAGATTTTTGTAATGTTTTGGTTTTGTAGCAACGTGAGGCACGTGAAGATTCTGGGACACATAATGAGGAAGGAGGGCCTAGAGAATCTGATGCTCACAGTCCGAATAGAGGGAACGGAGATGTGGTTCTACAGAAGGATGCTAAGAATACCATAATAGTAACAATCATATAATAATAATAATAATAATAATAATAATAATAACGAAGAAAAGGATGCTGAGGTGTTACGTGACATCTCTCCTTCTTTACGGTAGCGAATGTTGGACGATTTCCTCAAAGATGAAGAAGAGACTCGAGGCGACAGAGATGTGGTTCTACAGAAGGATGCTAAGGATATCATGGAACGAGCGTGTTAAAAACGATGAGATCTTAGAGAGGTTGCAAACAAGGAGGAGGCTTATACTTAATATCAGGAAGAGGCAGCTGAAGTTTCTGGGACGCATAATAAGGAAGGAGAGCCTGGGGAACCTCATACTCATGGATCGAATAGCGGGAACGAAGATGTGGTTCTACAGAAGGGTGCTAAGGATATAATAATAATAATAATAATAATAACGAAGTAAAGGATGCTGAGCTGTTACTTGACATCTGTCAACCTAAGGTGTTGGGCGAAACTAACTCTAGAGCTGCTTATTCAATATTAATTTCCTTATTTTATTTGTTATAACTGATCCATTCACTGAAGTATTTGAAGGGCTTAGTATTTATTAGGGTGAAGTAATGGATAGTTGTTCAGATTGGGGAATCGGAGAGCCGAGTTCGAATTCTACTCGAATTCATTACATTCACTTACGTGCTAATATCCTTGGGAAAAGTATGAATCCTCTCTTTCTCCCCCCACCTATGGGTAAATAGCAGGACAGACTGGGTTCTATAGCCTTGGATAAGAACTGGTCTACCGTAAAAAAAAATGGTAACGTACTACGGAAAAAAAATCTGCCTCGTCAGTCATGTATTGAAATATACATGATCGCCTAAGCGTGTATCACGCATGGTACATAACAAAAGTTCGTTTTAATAAATAACAAATTATTGATATCTTCTCTGATTCTTAGATACTTCGGAGAGGTTATTGCTCGAACAGTACTTGGACTCAGTGGAAACGGACGAGCAATAACTGGGCAGTACTAAAAATAAGAACTAGAAGAGATATCCCTAGACATGGGCAGTGGAACAGTGTGTACTTGGACTCGGTGGAAAGAGGCGAACTGATCTGAGCTACAAATAAGAACTACACGAGATGTCCGTAGATATGGGCAGTGTAACGAGAACAGTCTACCCCGTAGATTAAATAAAGTGTTAATTTCAGAATTCATGGTAGAATCGATATACACCGGATAATGACTGGGAGATAAGATGTCTGAAAAGTTACGTTAAAAAACGAAGATGAGGACAATAGTCCGAATGTAAATAGTGTAAATAATGCTAACTCCTCACCCCAGAAAATCAGACAGAAGGTGATGGGGTGATAATAACAACAAAGATAAGGATAATAGTATGAATGTAAATAATGCAAATAATGATAATGTCTCATTTCAGAAAATCAGACAGATATTATCAATAGTGTATTTGCCTTTTGTAAATAAAGATTGCACAGAGAAGAATATTAAATTTGGGTGAAGAAATTTTTCAAACTGCATGATAGAAATGGATCAGCGTTAAATGAATGTGCTGCAAATGTGTGCGTCTCTGAATGGCTTTAAATGATTGTCTTGCAAATGTGTGCATCCCTGAATGGTGTTAAATGATTGTGTTGCGAATGTGTGTGTTTCTGACTGGCATTAAATGAATGTGCTGCAAATGTGTGTGTGCCTGAATGGTGTTAAATGATTGTTTGCAAATGAGTGCGTCCCTCAATGGTGTTAAATATCTGTGTTGCAAATTTGTGTGTTTCTGACTGGCATTAAATGAGTGTGTTGCGAATGTGTGTGTCTCTCTGAATGGCGTTAAATGAGTGTGTTGCGAACGTGTGTGTTTCTGAATGGCGTTAAATGAGTGTGTTGCGAACGTGTGTCTCCCTAAATGAAATTGAATGTGTTGTAAATGGGTGTCCCCCTGAATGGCGTTAAACGAGTGTGTTGCAAATGTATGTGTCCCTTAATGGCGTTAAATGAGTGTGTTGCGAATGTGTGTGTCCCTTAATGGATCGTGGCGGATGAGATATCATTTATTACAATGGATAAGACCAAAGGCCCTTAGGTAGGAAATCATCGCCTCATTGCATGCCCGAATCACACATGGAAACTATTAACTGGCCTAATTACAGAAAAGATATATGACTATCTATTGACAAATACCCTTTTTTCACCCCATGCAAGGGAACAAAGCCACTAAGACACAAGTGATTACTGGGTGTGGAAGGATTAGAAAACAGAAACTTTACTAAGGAGCGGGAATAAATGAAGAGTAATCAGAAGGACAGTATGTAGCGACTGACATTGCTTTTAGATTCTCAAAGATTAAAATCTGCTGGAAACTATGGAGCCGTAAGAGAGTTTCACAAGCGAGAAGTGCGAGAAAAGAAACCGTTAGCAGGTATTTACTCGTTCCACCACTAGAACAAGATGTGACACAAGGTCGGTTTAATGTGGGTACACCCGGGCAGGGACAAAAATTCCCCTTAACCCCCGCAACCGTCGGCTGCGCTGGCCTCGGTGCGAGCACCGATCCCTCCCTCTTGCGCAATGGGAAGGCGCGGCCTCGGGCAGCTGTTCCCAAGGGCTGGGCACCTCTTCAGTATAATTTTCCTCATTTCCTAATGCGAAATCCCACAAAGGAGTGATTTACGCACTATAAATTGTTAGCATAGAACTTACGGTTACATCTAGCCAACTCAACTGTATATCGATTAGACCTCTTCACCAGTCTAGTAGCGCGCTTATATTAATAAAGTCTTGGTACCCTAGCGAAGAGCTCATCCGAACAATTACCATGAAAGTATTTATAGAAAAGGCACTGGGAGGCAACTCTATGGAGGCAGGAAAGAGACTGAAGCAGAGTCGCCAGATTAGGACCAATAATATTGCTAATTCTTTTTGGGATTTTATCAAGGATCTCTAGATATACAGAAATAGAAAGAGGCGTAAGGCAATGATGTGCTGTCTCACCGGACCTATTCAACCTATACAGCGAAACAGTTCTGAGAGAACTAGAAAGCCTACCAGGATTCATCACTGGCGGCCACAATCTTAACAACATATGATACGCAGATGACACTGTGCTGATAGCAGACATGGAAAATAAACTACAAAACCTCCAACAGAAGGTAGCGAAGGGTAGCGAGAAGAACGGACTAAGCATATACTACAAGAAAACAGAATGCATAGTCATCAGTAAAAAGCTGAGCCCGAATTTACAGGTCGGGGACAATACAATCAAGCAGGTGTTGAAATTTAAATATGTAGGAAGTGTTCTGACAGAGGACGGTAAGTGCGAAGCTGGGATCCGAAGAGGTATTGAGGTGGCGAAAGACGCATTCCAAAAGCCAGGCAGAGTGTTTCAAGGCAAGGGGGGTTCTTTGACAACAAAGAAAAGAGTACTGAACTGCTACAGGATATCTGTTCTCCTTTACGGCAGTGAATGTTGGACGATCTTTTCTAGATGAAGAAGAGACTCGAGGCAACACAGGTGTGGTTCTACAGAAGGATACCATAGACCGAATATGTGAGCAAGGATGAGGTCTTAGAGAGGATGCAAGCAAAAAGGAGACTCATACATAATATTAGGAAGAAGCAGCTGAAATTTCTGGGACACGTAATGAGAATGAAAGGCTTGGAAAATCTGACACTCACAGGTCGAATAGAGTGAAAGAGAGACAAGAGAAAGCAACGCGTGACATACTTAACGGGCAAGTGGATGGCAGAACAGAGTTTGGGAGCAATAACAAAGCTTATTGAGAACTACAAGGGACAGGAAGACATGGAGAGCCATGATCGCCTACGTCCTGAACATAAAAGAAGAAAAAGATAGATTTTCGAGAGAAAAAAATTGTCTCACATTAAACCAGGTTCCTTTACAGTTGATCAAGCAATGGATACAATATAGTCTTTCCACTTCATGTCAGCTGGGAACGTGAGTCCGAGAAGGTGCAACCAGTTACTTTCCTGGAGGTTAGCATCAGCCATGCTGATGAAGGCAGAGAAAAGTTTCTCGGATGATTAATGAAGAGAATTTTAGTTTGGGAAGCGTTAAAATTAACAAGCCATCTCTTGACCCAGTTTTGGACATCGGCTGCCATTTTGACCTTGTCGGAATGATCAGGCAGTCAGGAGTAAATGGTTGTCATCAGCGTCGATGCCAAGTTGAGAGTTGATGTCATCGGGGAGGTCATTAATAAATATTAAAAATAGCGTAGAATCAAGGATGGAGCTTTTGGGTCACCCACCTTAGTACGAAAGGGTCTGGCCGTTCAGGTTAAGTTTCACGGTTTGATAGGAAAAACTGGATCAGTTTCAAAATGTGTCAGGAGACACAGTAAATTTTCAGCTTGTAGAAAAGACCTGTATGCCAAACCCTGTCAAAGGCTTTCGAAATGTCCACTGCTATAACCCGAGCGTCACTGACAGACTCTTTCCGCAATTATCGTTAGTACATCAGCAGTTGACCTGGAGAAACGAAATCCATATTGCTTGTCTGAAAAAAGGCACTGCAGTGAGAGATGATGAACCAATTTAGCATTGATTAGGGCCTCCAAGAGTTTCTCCAAAAAGAGGTAGAAGGGTAAAGGGCCAAAAGTTGGAAGCGTCGGATGGTTCTTCAGAATTCTTACAAACTGGAATGTCGGCTGCCATTTTGACCTTGTCAGATTGATAAGTCAGTCAGGAGTAAATGGTTGAGTCATCAGCGAAGATGCCAAGTTGGGAGTTGATGTCATCGGGGAGGTCATTAATGAAAACGCAAACAGACTAGGATCAAGGATGGAACCTTGGGGGATACCCACTTTTGTACGAAAGAACCTAGACGCGTGACCGTTCAGGATTCACGATTTGATTCACGATTTGATAGCATAGACTGGATCAGTTCAAAAATTTGTCCGGGGACGCCGTAACTTTGAAATTTGTAGAGAAGACCCGTATGACAAACCCTGTCAAAAGCTTTCGAGATATCCAAAGCTACAGGCCTAGCTCCATCGTTCCTATCTCTTTTTTTACAGTAAGGTTCACTCTGTACAAGGCAACTCAAGATAGATGGTTAATTTAAGGGGTAGTTTATATAGATAGGAGCGGAAGATAACGGTTAACTCTAGAATTGAATAAGCTAAAATAGTAGTAATCAGGGAAACAACCTCTTGGGAGTCTGTTCCACTGGGCAGTGGTTCGTGGGAGGGAGCGGTTTTAGTGGAATTTACTCACGTTGATGGAATACGGAGGAAATGTGGATGGTTTGTAATTATGTAAGGGGCATGGCGAGTCCTAGCCGTGAAGGTTAGATCCATTGGAACCAGCAGATGCAGTTTATCCGAGCACTTTCCATGGTAATAGCGATGGCGCAGTGAGAGGATCAACCTATCCCGCCTGTATGTGTGTGTGTGCGCGCGTATGTGTGTGTGTGTGTGTGTGTGTGTGTGTGTGAGGGAGAGAGATAGGTTGGATCGTGGAAAATAATTATTCTCCCAGAAGGACTCGGAGACGCTTTTAAACTTTATCAAGACTGGAAAGTGAGGATTGAGTGGCTCCTTCCCAAATATGGCAACAGTAGTTCCATTTGATCTGACTCTCAGGAAAGCTAGTGGATAGTATGAGGAGTCAGGTGCTTACTGGAGCGGTACAGGGAGCTGATCATTTTGCCTGGATCTTTAGCGATGGATGTGTATTTGAGGCCCTATTCTCTCAAGGCACGGAGCCTCTTCGATAGGACATCCATTCATCGTGACAGGCAGTAGTTCGGGATCTGAAAATCGACAGACATTTTCTGCAATTGTCGTCAAAACGTCAATAATTGGCCTGGAGAAACGCCAATCGTATTGCTTGTCTGAAAAAAAGGAGGATGTCGAAAAAGATCTCTGGGCAGTAAACACTAACTTGCCATTGATAAGGGTGGTCTCCGAAACTCCCAGCGACGATGAGCCAACATACGTATGGGCTGAAATACAAAGTCTTCCCCATTCCTTCGCACGGAAGTGCTTATAGATGTTCGGTGTAGTCAAAAGTTTCATTAGCATGCCTTCCTTCAAGATTTTGTTTTTTTTAAATAGGTATAACCCCATGCAAGGCAGTAAAGCCACTAAGACACAAGGAGTTACACGATGTGGAAAATTAGGAACAGAAACATTAACAACTGTCTATATTTCTGAGATCAGGTAATATGTACACCCCCCACAAGGCCGGGTTTAACGTGGGATTTCCGAGCCCGTAGGCTCGGCCAAAAGTATTCCCTCTTTGAACCCTCATAAACGGGTTCAGGGGCAGTCAACCACCCCGAACGAGACTCTGCTCTTCGGCGGAACCTCGCCCGGGTCCCTCTCCGCCCGAAAGCAGAGTTAGACTGTTACTTACCCCGGAGGCTATTTAAATTGTTCGGACACATGGCACAGTGGATAAAGGCGTTAGTTAGATCCAGTGACAGGACCCAAAGAATATGAGTTCAATACCCGGTTAAGGCAGTGGATAACTTGGAGAGGGGAATTAACAGGAGATAACTGATAACTGACATTCATTAGACATGGCACGTGGAACTAGAACAGTCTACCCCAGTGAGCGAAATAAAGGGTTTAGTTCGACATTCAAATTTCCATTTAAATTTTTGCAGATTAAAGTTGACTGGAAAGCATGGGGCCGGAAAGGAGATCAACAAGCGAGAAGTGCGAGAAAAGAAACTGTTGGCATAGAACTAAGGGTTACATCTCGCCAGCTCATCTGTAAATTGATGAGATCTTGATGCCAGTCTAGTACTGCGCTTAAATTCAAAATGTCTACGTACAAATAGCATAGAGCAATATTTATTTTGAAAAAAATTATAAAAATGTGGCGCAAGGCCAAAAGGTGGGTGTGTGTCAAAAAAGAATGGTCTTCTTCTGTCTTATTACTAAACCAAGTTGGCCAGTGACTAAATCATATCGCAATATTTCTTATACAAAAACAACACATTTTCACTTACCATTCTTACTACAGCCACCATAATTCCTCAGAAAATCTATAAAGTTCTAACTAGTTCACATGTTTATAATTTTTTTTTCTGTTGGGGGAATAAAACAACAATTTAAAAATTTAGTCCCCAGTGAATATTTACAATATGAGATAATCTATTTACAAGATACTAAATAAAATAATATTAATAATAACCCTTGCAATCCTTAATTGTTTGAGAAAAATCAGTTAAGTGGACGAAATCTACGCGGAACATCTTTATTACTAAAAAAAATCTGTGAACGTTGCTTGTGTGTTTGCCAGAAGTCATATATAGAGAGTGGTGAAAGAAAGATATAAATGTATTATCGCGTAGGAAGCGGGTGGGTGGAGGGAGAGGGAAATGGAGAAAAAAAACGCTCTCTCTTTCCATCCACCTCTCTCTCTTTCCACCTTCCCGTGATTACGTGCGTGCTTATTTGTTTTTCAACTTTCTTTAAAGAAACAATATTTTAAATATTTTTATTTGCACTTTCTTCAAACGGACATTTTGTTTAATGTTGAAAGCAACTTCAATGTTTTATATGATTTAAAAATACGATTTGTTTATACAGTATTTTTATTTCAACTTTCTTCAAACAAACAATTTTTTTAATGTTGAAAGCAACATCAATAACTGCAAATAAATGTATATTTAAAATATCTCTATTTTCACAAACTCTTTATGAAACTAAATTTAAACAGTAATACAACAAGATTGACCCAACGAGTCACGGGTGGTCTAGTTAATATAAATCAGCCATCAGTCCAACCACTCAAACATACTTATTCAAACACAACAATAAATAAGTTAATCACACCCGAAAAGCAAAAGGCGTCCCGCATCTACTAGAGAAGTGACATCTCAGGTCACCTGACGAGGTTGGGAAGAGGGAATTAAACTAAAGAAAGTGTGGTCAGATATAAAAAGTGTCCAATGATCTTACCCTAGATAAGTAAACTCTGAAATACGAAACTCAAGACAAAAAAAAAAAAAAAAACAAGCCCAAAACAAACTATACTAATTTCGGGTCAGTTAGAACAATTACCACATGCCTAAACAGCTTCAAAGTGTCGCATTAAATCGTACCCTCTTATTCGACACAGAAGCGCAAGTTTAACCCATCTTTTGCCAAATTCTGATGAAGGAAGCCGCCGCTTTTCCGTTCTAGTCTTGACTCTAACCTGATGCCTAAAGAACAAAATCATTTGGGAAAAGGTGAACATCTCGCCCTCATAGAATTCCTTCTGACGTATCGTCCAAATCACGACTCTCATAATTCCTAGCAAGCAAAAGAACACAAATATATTTTTTCCGACAGTTTTATAATAGCGGTGTCAGGCTACTGACTGGAGTGATTGTTGAGTGACTATTGAGCGGAACTATCCAGTCGAATTAGTGTGAATTATTGTGCGTCAATAATTTGGGTTTTGATTTAGGATTTACCGGACGTAATGCCGAGCCGCGCTACTAACAAGGTTTTCACTGAAATGGTTAATTATCTTTGGTTGGCTTTTAATTCTTTGTTCTTGTTAACTATTTATTTGCGGTTGTAATTAAATACTCTTTTATCTTAACATTGAAATCTTGAGTTATACTTAAGTATTAACGGCTACCGTACGTCACAAAATGATGAACTTAGATAGATAGATAGATAGATAGATAGATAGATGTCATATAGGAAGAAAGTAAGTAAATACCGACACCGAGGTTCGAGCATGATACTCTGGACATATGAAAATATTTTTTCGCCAGGTGTATAAATAGCGGTGTCAGGCTACTGACTGCGGTGATTATTGAGTGACTATTGAATGGAACTATCCAATCGAATTAGTGTGTGTTATTGTGCGTCGATGATTTGGGGTTTGATTTACTGGACGTTAAGCCAAGCCGCGCTACTAACAAGGTATCTCACTGAAAATGGTTAATTACACTGGTCAACAAAAAAATTGAAATGGTGTCGAGACACCAAACATCTTTTTTAGCTACTTTGATGGCACTGAATCTGAAAATGACCTTAGTTTTTCTTGCTTAGCTACCGTTTTTGCTGCACAGAAATGCCTAATTTTTGGGAAAAAAAGCATTTTTTCACTTATTTTCTGTATATATGTTATTGATCTATGGCTATATTTCTCAAAATAAAGTCGTAGAAACATCTCAATTCGTATTTAAACCAACAAATATTGGTCTGCTTATTGAGAAATATCATTTTTGCAATAACAATCACTCCCTAACTCTTTTAAAGTAACCCGATTAAATATACCAAGACCAACAAGTATTTTCATCAAATCATTTAATAAATTAACAACAGAAATAAAACTTTCGTGAACATAAGAACTATGGTAATTTTTCTTTTCTTTCTTGATTGTCTGCCATGTTCAATATTATTTAAGTCCCTTTTGATACTCCAGAAGTATCATGTACATGTCTTTAGTTAGAATTTCTTTCCAATTGTAAAAACAAAATGCTCTCAATATGCTTGGTTTCCTTCCGTAGTGAAGGGATAAAAGTGATGGGATAAATTTATGAATATCAAACAGAAGATTTTAGGGTTTTATTTTTTTGATGTCACCTTAATTATCAGGTTTACTAAAGTGTATTACTGATAAAGTTTATCTGTTTATTTGAAACGTTGCCGATAAAATGGAAAACTTCGGTACATCTATTCTAAAACTTTTGACTCAAAAACATTTTTTCTTATGAAAATAGTTTATTTCAGGTGGCCAACATAAAATACTCGGCCTAACTGAAAACGGATGGGTTTCTACGGCCTTTATTTATTTTGTGATCAGCCAAGATCGTAAGATTAGCTAAAAATGTGATTTGTTTCGTAGGACTAAAAATTGTATTGACCAATGTTATATTTGATTGACTTTTACTTCTTTGTTCTTGTTAACTGTTTATTTGCGGTCAGGAGGCACGGTGGAGTAATGGATAGCGGCTTGGATTGAGGAATCGGAGAGCCGAGTTCGAATTCCAGTCGAAACCATTACATTAACTTACTAATACCCTTGGGAAAAGTGTGAATCTTCTCCCTCCAGCTATGGGTAAATAGCAGTGGATCCCTTAAGGCACTTTGTGCTATCTTCCGGCAACTCCTGCAGCCACGTAGCTACCAAAATGTATTGGTTTATCCTCTCCTTTGGACTCTGCTAGCCAGACCGGGAACTAGACGTCTGGGCAGCCCTAGTTCTCCATAGATTCCGCGCTACTTGATCGTCTCTCGAGATGGACGCACGACGACGATTTGCGGTTGTAATTAAATACTGTTTTATTTAAGATTGAAGTCTTGAGTTATACGTAATTATTAACGGCTACTCTACGTCACAAAAGAGACGCTTTTGAAATCTATCAAGACTTGAAAGTGGGGACAGGGAAGCTCTCGCCAAAATATGGCAACGGTTCCCCATTATCGGCCTGAGTAAACATCTAGGAGAAACTCCAAAAGTGTGTAGCAAAATCCAAAACCTTTGTAAAAGCGAACATTGAGACCAATGAAGAATACAGAAAGCAAGCGTGACAAATATCGTTTCGTGAGAAGTTTGAGAGATTAATTAAAACAATTAGCACAGAAGATTCTTGGGATTGATTGGCGAAAAGCGAACTGATACGGGTGACTGATACTCTTTTGGGAAGAACACCTACCAAACATGGAGTCGGGCAAGACTAGCCTGTGAAAGTGGAAAATGTCATCCACATCATTCGCGCCTGTAGAATGCTTGCACAGAAAAAAAAATTCCAACCTCTGTCTCACAGCCGGGATGTGGTGATTCTCTCACTGTTCTATCGCTACTACCAAGGAAAGAGCTCTGAATAAGCTAGGAACAATTATGCTACTTACATAGCAACAAACTTCGCAAATTCCTCTGTATCAAATCAGCGAGAAGTAAGATCCACTCAGATAGCTACTCCCAGCGAACCAGTGTCCTGTGGAACAGACTCCCTAGTGGATGTTTCCCCGATGACTACAAAACTACACCTTATTGTAATCCTCTATCTTGAGTGGCCCGCGAGCCTAATACAGGGTGAAAGTTACTGTAAACAAATTAATAGAAGCACCGGATAAAGTAGATTCTTATCTGAATCAGTGCCTAAGCAGAAATTATGAACTTGAAGTTCAACGGGGAAATGGTAGCGACACAGGCCAGGTAAGGTGACCGAAAACGAACAAGTCATGATCTTGTGGAATTTCAACATCTAAACAATCAACATCTAATGCTACCAAACCATACCAAACACCAAACCAAACCATCGTCTTTGAAAAGAAAAAAAAATCTATATTATTTACATCGTTAGGAGTGTTATTTTCATTTTCTGGGTAATGTAGATAACAATTCATCGCACCATGTATATCTGTTAAAATGAGATGTCCGTATTATTTTAATTTTCTGCGTCATTTAGACGACAATTTATCCATCGCACCCTGTATATCTGTCAAAATGAGATGTCAGTGTTATTTTCATTTTCTGCGTAATTTAGATGACAATTTATCCATCGCACCCTGTATATCTGTCAAAATGAGATGTCAGTGTTATTTTCATTTTCTGCGTAATTTAGATGACAATTTATCCATCGCACCCTGTATATCTGTCAAAATGAGATGTCAGTGTTATTTTAATTTTCTGCGTCATTTAGACGACAATTTATCCATCGCACCCTGTATATCTGTCAAAATGAGATGTCAGTGTTATTTTCATTTTCTGCGTAATTTAGATGACAATTTATCCATCGCAACCTGTATTTTAAAAAAGAAAGTTGTCAATATTAACATTTTTATTCACACTATTTACATCGTCCGGACTGTTGTCCACATCGTTATTGCCATATTCACGACGTTTCGGCCGTTGTACGCTCCGGCCTTCTTCAGGTGATAGACCTTTTATTTGTTCTACGGTGACAGAGTGTTCTAATTCCCTGTTACATGCCTTTTTTGGATATATCAGTATCAGTTTATTCCCTTTAGTAACTTAACTCTCCTAGTTTTTTATTCCCCTCTGCTGTGTTCACAACTCATTGTGTGAAGTCACTTTTTTTTATTATTCAACCAAAGTTGCTAAAGGGAAGGGGTTTAAAATAAAGTAAAAACAGTTATAGGTAAACAAAGGCTCAAATAAAAGAAAAAAATACCTATGAAAATAATTTAAAAGATAAAAAAGATGGAGCTAAACGAACATAAAGTATACAATTGGACATTGGCGCGATATTAAAGCCCGAAAAAAAAAAAGAAAAAAAAAGATGGTAGCGGATGATAAAAGGACAAAGAAATAAGAAACAAAAAATCTGCAAAACAGAGAAAACAAATATGGTTGACGCATTATGTCAACACAACGAAATGACCGATCGTATGAAATCCAAGATGGCCACGTTAACGAAATCAAGATGGCTACTTGAGTGACGTGGAAACAACTACTCGAGTAACGGCCGTGAGTCGCTCTTGAGACATCAAAGTGAATGTATAAATAACGACGTGGACGTGGTTGTTTGAGGAACATCAAAATGGCGATATAATTAACATCAACCTTGCCAATCAATTAACATCTAACAGCGGCGAGAGGCGCGAAGTGGACGAAAACGAGGCTCATTCATGATATTAAGGGGGAAACTGAAGAAGGGCGATAAATGGCTTCATAGCAAAGGATATAAATAGATTAGGAAAAAAAGTTTTGTTAAGTTATGAAAAACTGTGATAGATTGGCTTTATTATGTGAGAAAACATTAAATAAGAACAGGTTTGGATTGAGGAACGAAGATATATACACACACACACATATGTTCGTGTGTGTGTGTCTGTGTGTGAGTGTGCGCGCCTGTGTGTGTCTGTGTATGTGTAATAAGTACAGACGATCCTTAAAATACATTAGGTTATAATTTATTTCGTAAATATCCAAATAATCATCTATTTAGACCGAAGTTTTTTTAAATTTTTTTATTAAAGAAACTTCGGTCTAAAGAGATGAATATTTAAATATATTCATGAAATAAATTGTAACCGGAATGGATTTTTAACAATTGTCTTTATTTATTATTATTATTATTATTATTATTATTATTCTATTGCTCTGTTACTTACATTGAACTCTCTTTGGTCTCATGTCCACCTTGGAATTATCACTACCAATTATCAATTACAGACATTTTTTTATGTTTATACGTTCTTTTTATAGATACAGATATTTAAGTAAATGCTTTGTTTATAATAAACAATATTAACAACATATACCGGCCTGAATGTCCGAGAAATTTTCATGGAAAATATGCGTCCTCCAGAGAAATCGAACCTGTATCCTATGCAGAACTGTCATATAGCCTGACGTGCCTTTACCGATTGGGCCACAGAGGAGAGTTCGGTTAGCAAGGTCGATTTTACAGCATTTAAACACAATTCTTGATGATTTTCTCACATACATTCATATCTGCTCAATGCGTATGGAAATGTAAACAAATGACATCACACATTATGAAATGAACAAAGTCCGAAAATTATTTTTAAGACATTTTTTATGTTTATACGTTCAATTTATAGATACAAATATTTCAATACAGTAAAATCGACCAAGCTAACATACATATTTTTTACCACACATATATAAATACATACAAATATATATATATATATATATATATATATATATAATGCATATAAATTACAATTCCCTATACATCGAGTACTATTAGTTGACACTAGATAATCTATCTAAATATCCTCTTCTGTTCCTATCTATATATCTATCACGTTCTATGACACACACTCTCTCTCTCTCCCTACATACATACATACATATATATATATATATATATATATATATATATATATATATAATTCTGTGCCTATCTATCATATCTATCTATCTATCTATCTATCTATCTATCTATCTATCTATCTATCTCATTCTTTTCCTCTCTATATCATTCTGTTTCTATCTATCTATTTATCTATCTATCTATCTATCTATCTCTGTTCTCTCTTGCTCTCTCTCAATATATATAATTATGTTCCTAACTATCTATATACCTATAGATCACGCTCTCTCTCTGTATATATATATATCTGTATATATATATATATATATATATATATATATATATAATATCTTTTCTATCTATCTATCTATCTATCTATCTATCTATCTATCTATCTTAGTCTCTTCATATCTATCTTGGCCTGTTCATAATATCTATCTATCTATCTATCTATCTATCTATCTATCTATCTTAGTCTCTTCATATCTATCTTGTCCTGTTCATAATATCTATCTATCTATCTATCTATCTATCTATCTATCTATCTATCTATCTATCTCATTCTTTTCTTATCTATATCATTCTGTTTCTATCTATCTATATATCTATCTCGTTCTAAACATCTTTTATAATATGTATATATATATATATATATATATATATATATATATAAATCTGTTTCTATCTATTTATCGATCTATCTCATTCTGATCATATCTATCTGATTATCTATCTACTTATTTCCTTCTCTTTCTCTCTCTCTCTCTCTCTCTCTCTCTCTATATATATATATATATATATATATATATATATAAAAATTTGTTTTCTATCTATCTATCTATCATTGTATATTTTACGTCAACTACTTACTTTCCTCAGTCATTTCTCATTATTTGCCAATCCGCTTTTCCTTTTCCCGCTAATTTCTATGACTTCTGTTTTATTTTTTTTCATTCTTTCCTTCATCTCTTTTGGACTTTCCTTTCTCTTGCTTTATGCTTCGTCAATATTCATCTACCCATTAACTTACATCAAATAGAATAAAAAAAAAAATCACCTTCCCCTTTACTGAAGGAAATTACACCGCCAATTGATTTACTTTCTTTCGTCTTCGATCGCCCGCTATTTGATTCGTTCTTTTTCTTTCTTCATCCTTTTCAGCTCTCAGCTCAAACTCAATACAATACTTCCCAGTCCTCAATATTTGCTCTCCATCTTTAAACAAATCATCAGGGCCCTACCATGGCGTGATACTTTGTTTGCAAATGGCGGCCGTAAAAGGGCATAATAGCTCTGGCGATTCGAACGTTGTTTGCTGGGCTGCCATTATAAAACGACAAATTGATTGAACAGCGCTTAAGAAGGAAGGATACCGTCTGCTTGACAGGGACGTGGGAGACCGGTCCCCACCCTATCACAAGTTTGTTGAAGATCGAGGGTGGCCGTTCCGCAGACAGGTGGACAGTAAATACGATGAGGTTCTGTTATGACGGCGTCGGACGAGCACGTATTTCATATTTAAGTCGGGCATTTCGTTCTATGTGTCTTTTCATGAGACGAACACACGCTAGAATCAAGTTGGTAATTAGGCGCGAAGCTCAGTTTCGAATGGCATCAAACTACAAGGAAATTATAGAGTTCGTGAACAGTTTCGTAAATTGTCCAGTTTAACAACCCCAAATATATCCATATCACCAGGGTGGGCACTTGGACATGGTGTAATGATATATAATATATATATATATATATATATATATATATATATATATATACATCGATAGATAGATAGATATATAGAGAGATTTATAGATAGATAGTAACATAATTATATATATATAGATAGGTAAATAGGTAGGGGCAGAATTATATATATAAATAGAGAGAGAGAGAGAGAGAGAGAGATATAGATGGGTAGGAATAGAATGAGATAGATAAACAGATAGGAACAGAATTATATACATACATATATATATATATATATATATATATATATATATATATATATATATATGTGTGTGTGTGTGTGTGTGTGTGTGTGTGTGTGTGAGAGTGTGTGTGTAAAGAAAGAGAAGAAATAGATAGATAGATAGATAGTCAGACAGACAGAATCAGAATGAGATAGATGGCTAAAAAGATACATAGGAACAGAATTATAAAATTCGCTTGAAGATGAAACAGAACTAATGCTTTTAATTTGATTATATAATTCAAACATGGTTATTACCGTGTAGCGAAGAAACCATATTTTAAATATTTTAAATCAGTTAATTTAGAATACACACACACACACACACACACACACACACACACACACACACACATATATATATATATATATATATATATATATATATATATATATAAAGAAAGAGAACGAGAGAAAAGGAAATAGGTAGATAGATACTCAGATAGATATGATCAGAATTAGATAGATAAATAGACAGATAGCAACAGAATTATATATATATATATATATATATATATATATATATATATATATATACAAATGTAGATAACTATACTTGTTTCGAAAAAAACCCTCGAATTTTTGATTTGCCACTAATCAAATCAATCTCGAGGGAAATTCCCTGAAGATCCGTTTAGGTGAAACCTAGGTAGGTTTGTCTGGCTCACTAGGTGTATCTATCTATCTATCTATCTATCTATCTATATATATATATATATATATATATATATATCACGTTCTCTGTCACACTCTCTCCCTCCCTGTATATATATATATATATATATATATATGAATAAAAAATGACAATAGGAAAACTGGTAATTGCTGACGCGTTTCGTCCAATGTGGACTTTATCAAAGCAAAATACGAAAATGAAATTAAATGAACAACGTAACTAATAAAAACAAATACAGAATGTACCTAGCAACTGGAATGTAGAGAAACGCTATTTTCATAGTTTTTAACTGAAAAATAACGTCAGAGATTGTCACGTGTGGAGAATATTGTCATTATATCTGTGTTGATGTATTCAACCATTTTCTTTCGATTTTATGAATCTGTTGTGCATATTTGTTTGTAAGAGCATTAATTTTGTTAAGAAAGGTGAAATAGGGGAAAAAGCCTGGGCGTAAATTAATATTTGATAATTTTCAATGGCGGCACTCTCCAGAATTTTCCTTCTGAGTGAGTTATTTTCTTTTTTTATGAGTGTAGCATTTTCAAAATCAAAATTATGGTTGTATTTATTTCTATGTATGACTATTGCATTAGCTAAGTTGTTTTTTGTGAGGTCTCTTTTGTGCTCATAAATGCGTTTTTTCAAACTTCTACTTGTTTCTCCAATATATTGGGAGGAGCAGTTTTGGCAATTTATTTTATAAAAGCCTACTTCAGAAATATTAGTGCTATTATTGTTTGAAGATCTTAGTATATCTATAATGGTTTTGGAGGTGTTTGTGACTATTTCAAGATTATTTAGATGGGATAGGTTATTCTGGATCGTGGACGTGGCAGAATTGGTCGGTAGTATTATGTATCTGTTTTCATGTGATTTACTATTGCGGATTGTGTTATTAGTTTTGTTTCGTTTGTATATTTTGTATGCCTTTCTTCTTGCATTGTGGATGAAATGATATGGGTATTGTAGGTTTTTGAATGTTTTCTATGTATGTTTCTTCTTTAAATAAATATTGAGGACTACAGATTCTTAATGCTCTTAGATAGAAACCTATAATAATTCCAGATTTAATTTTTGAAGGGTGGTTTGAGTAGAAGCTGATGAGATCATTTTTGTTTGTAGCCTTTCTGTGAACGTCAAAATTGAGTTCGTTGTTATTTCTAATTAACAAAATGTCCAGGAACGGAAGAGTGTAGTTGGTTTCAGTTTCGAGAGTGAAGTTTATTGTAGGTTCAATGTTGTTAAGTTTGGAGAGAAGATCCGTTAAATTGGTGTTTTTTGGAATTATTAATAACGAGTCTTCTATGTATCTGAAATATGAAGAGTTTGTAGGGAGAATATTTTTGAATGAGTCACTCTTCCGTTCCTGGACATTTTGTTCCGTAGAGGAACCGCATATATGGGAAGTAGCGTGTGTCTAATTGATTGCTATTTCTACTCTATACTACTCTGATCTCTATTTCTACTCTATCCTCTATACTATTCTGAACTCTATTTCTAGTCTATCCTCTATACTATTCTGATCTCTATTTCTACTCTATCCTCTATACTATTCTGATCTCTATTTCTAGTCTATCCTCCATACTACTCTGATCTCTATTTCTACTCTATCCTGTATACTACTCTGATCTCTATTTCTACTCTATCCTCTATACTATCCTGATCTCTATTTCTAGTCTATCCTCTATACTATCCTGATCTCTATTTCTATTCTATTCTCTATTACTATACGGACCGCTAGTCTCTACTCTATTTACTATACTATTTCTCTATTCGGATCACTATACGGATTACTATTCGAGCGAGTATTATCCAACAAGTGTTACTAGTACAAGTGTAATTCGAGGGTGTCTGACACCAGTATTGTTCAACAGCGTTACTATAGTTGTATCTGCGATTACAAAGTCGCAAGTACAATGAGCTATACGTAAGTGACATTGGGTATGCGTTGGCAACACAAAAGTGTCAATGCATGTTCGTTGACATCACAAAATTAACAAATGTCCTAAGTTAATTTTCAAGTTGGATTTTCTTCCCACCCGTTCTGTATATTATATACATCCAGGTATATTATATATTTCTAATATACCCCAGGTATAAAATACCTAACTTATTCTAAAAGAGTCATGGGCAAATTACGGCCCGAATGGCAGGTGAAATTTCATAAGAAAAATAACGTTTCTTAAAATTCGGTTTTGTTTCGTTTTCACTTGTTCACTCACATACTCTCTCATACATCATCTCATACATAAACTAGGATTAACTACAATGTTTCTTGAATTTTGTAACATTTCGGGGAAAGTAACTTTGTCAGTATTTTAGACCATTGGCATTTTTTACAAAGGTATAAACATATTTTGATTTTGAAACAAGAAATATTCATAACAATTATTTTCTCTGTAGAAGAAATATACATTTTTTTATTTTTCAAATGAATAAATTAGGAATAAATCCCTAGCAGTGATATATGACAGTTGCCAGTCATCAATGATAATATTTTACGAAAACTCCAATTTTTTAATTAGAGAAAAACTTTTCCTCCCGATTTCTAAGGTATCTGTTTACGCATATGGTCTTCTCTTGTGAAAAAAAAAAAACTAAGGTACCTACATCCTTGTGCAAAGTAATTGAAAAAAAAACGCTTTAGTTTCTTTTCTTTCACCATACGGTCAGTTTTAGATCTACTAGAGTGACAGGGTGTTATCGATTTCTATTTTTTCCTCAGATTAGTATCATTTGCAGTGGTGTACAGTAATATGAATCTATTTTCTTGGTGTTTGATGAAATTTGTTTGGCCTTGAAAAATATTACGTCATCCGTAATTGTATTAGATTTTTATTACGCCCAGCCACTATTGTCTCGACTGTCATTTAGTTGTCCTACGGCCGTACTTTAGGGCACTCTGTTTATATTTGCCCAAAGGCTTCCAACATCATTTTCAATGGCACAGATATACGCGTTACATTTGAGATTGATATATAGGTATAAAGATAGTAACCGAGAATACTATGGATCTGTCAGTCTCACACGTCCGAAGAGATCTTGCGTGTACATTCTGCAGTCCACAATGTAAGCTTCTTATTATGAACAGGTTTGCGTATGCAAGCGCCCCCCCCCGGACTTTTTTTTAACTAAAATTTACTGTATTGAATGAAGACTGGACCGTTTTTATAAGCAGGGATACCTGTTTTCTGGCAGAACAGGAAGAGGGAGGGATGTTGAAAAGACAAATAGGAAGTTGTGGAGAGCTATGAACGCCCACGTGCAGAAGGAACACACCAGAGAGGAGAATAAAATCATTTCAATGATCAAGAAATATAAGCTTTTATTCTGAACAAGATTAATTTTCAGAAAAAATAACTAACTGATTACTGGTGAATGTGTTTGTATCAACCATTATTACTAATTTGTAGACTTGGAGCCATTACGTACCATTCTAGTTAAGCACATCCCATAATCCTTCTCGCTTGTAAGTATCAATTACAATAGGTACCTCTACTAATTCGCTTTGTTCTTTTAATTGATTAAGACAAACTGCATTTAGTGTGTATTTCAATTTGTTTCTGATCTTCCCTACAACACAGTTTCCAGTATTGAATTTCAGATGCCATAACGAACTCCAAGTTGAAAGTGAATTTTAATCGTCTTGAAGTCATGACCAGTCATCTTTGTCATTGATATAACGATATAATTTAGTGTCATCAGTCCCATTTGCGATGTGATATCTATCCTCTTATATGGCAGTGAAGGCACGAGAATATTCTAGAGAATTCTGTTTACATTTACCCAAAAGCTTTCAGTAATTAAACAAAATTCCCTCATTCTTCCAAACATGGCTACTTGATTATTGGTGAATGCGTTCATATCAGCCATTATTACTAGTTTGTTGACTTGGTGCTATTACGTAGCAATCTAGTTAAAAGAAACAGTGATAATAATAAGAAAAAATTATGTATACGATAACTGATTAGACTCGGTTATTTTATACACCGAGTTAGGAAGAAAACTAGTCACAATTATATTCACGGTTTTATGCTGAGCTAAGGCAAACTATATTTTCCGAAACATGGCTAATTGATTACTGCTGAATGAGTTCGTATCAACTATTATTACTAATTTGTAGACGTAAGATTCCAGTTAAGAGAAACAGTTGGTGATACTAATAGGAAAATTAGGCAATTGTGATCATAAAATAAGTACATCCCATATCTCCTCCGGTCTGTAACTATCCATTACAGTAGGTACATCTACTAATTCGCTAAAAAAAAAATAAAATAAAAGTAAACAGCATAGAATGATGAAAAAGGTTTTATCGTAAAAAATGTTCATGTTAAACGGAAAGCTAAGAGGAAAGTCCAAAGTTTTTTTTATTAAATATTTTAAACCTTTCGCGCACGTTCGAAATTTTGGTTAAAAATCTTTTTCTTTTTTTTTGTCAGTGGGTGAGTGAAATGTTAATATGGATATTATAGCGACTTTTTTCGGTAAAAAAAAAGCATATTGATTTGGAAATTCTTCCAAATATCAAAGAATTGTCGGATTTTAATCAAACTTTCAGGACTTATTCACAAACATAGATATAGATAAGAATAGCCTCAGATAGATAGATAGATAGATAGATAGATAGATAGATAGATAGATAGATACAATCTGGAACAGACAGACAGACAGATAGATAGATAGATAGATAGATAGATAGATAGATAGATAGATAGATAGATAGATAGATAGATAGGAACAGACTGGAACAGATAGATAGATAGATATAAACAGACTGAGATAGGTAA